TCCCTCATTTGGTAAAGGAAATAGACCTATAAGTCTAGGAAGGACAGAGAGTCCCAAACAAGGTGAACCCAAAAAGGCCCACACCAAGACACAATACAATTAAAATGTCAAAGGTTAGATACAAAGAGAGAATCTTAAAAGCGGCAAGAGAAAAGCAGTTAGTTACCTACAAGAGAGCTCCCATGAAACTGTCAGCTGACCCTGGCTGGTGTGGCTCAGTGGACTGAGTGCTGGCCTGTGAACAAAAGGGTCTGTTTGATTCCCATTCATGGCACATGCCTGGGTTGGAGGCCAGGTTCCCAGTTAGGGGCATGCAAGAGGCAACCACACATGGATGTTTCTCTCCCTCTCTTTCTCCCTCCCTCTCTCTCTAGAAATAAATAAACAAAATCTTAAAAAAAAAAAAAAGACTGTCAGCTGATTTCTCAAAAGGAACTTGGCAGGCTAGATGGAATTGGTGACAAATATTCAAAGTGATGAAAACCAAGGGCCTGCCACCAAGTTTACTTAGCAAAGCTATCATTTAGAATCGAAGGACAGATAAAGAGATTCCCAGACAAGAAAAAGCTAAAGGAGTTCATTATTCCCAACCAGTATAATATGAAATGTTAAGTGTCTTCTGTAAGAAGAAGATGATCAAAACTATGAACAGTAAAATGGCAATAAATACATATCTATCAACAATTGAATCTAAAAAGCAAAATAAACAGACAGAAGAGAAACAGAATCATAGATACAGACAATATTTTGATGGTTGCCAGGTAAGAGGTAGGTTGGGGATGGGCAAAAATGAAGAGTTTAAGAAGTACAAACAGGTAGTTACAGAATAGCCATGGGGATATAAAATACAGCATAAAGAATAGAGTAGCCCAAGAACACATATGCATGACCCCTGGACAGGGACAATGGTGTGTGGTTTCTCTGAGAGAGTGGAGTGACTGGGTCTTGGCGAAAGAGGGGGGCAAAAGGGGAAAATTGGGACTATAATAGCATAACCAATGAAATATAATTTTAAAAAAGAATGATTTAGAGTGTGTACAGCTGGGGAACAGGATAGGAAGGAGGCCTATAGACTGGATGAAATGCAAGGGGAACTTGCATTTCATATGTGCTGTGTGAATTTTTTTCAGAAGATATATTTTTATAAAAATCTTAAATGCATGTCACTTTTAATAAGAGGATGAATACAAAATGAAGATAATATATCCACCCTTGGCTTTGAACCCATTATCTCCACTTTTTTAGGAGACATTTTAATCATCTCTTCTGTGGCATTTGCAAATCTATTCAAACATTTTATATTCTTAAAGAACAAGAAAAACCAGAGTCTATCCTTAAAGTTTCTATACTATTGGCTCTGGGAGTATTTTTGTGTACTCTTTTCTTTTGCCAGACCTTCAAATGCTAGTAGGTCAGAGTTTTATCCTCAAGCCATTACTCTCCTGGTCTACAGACTTTTCTTGGATATCTCCCCTACTCTTCTAAATTCAACTACTATAGTGTGTTCTTCCTCTGTGGAGTACACCCACATCTTTCTTCCCTCTCAGGCCTGCATATCCTAAACTCTAAAGGTTCCCATGTGGCCTGAAACCAGAGGAACAATGTGCAGTGGCAGCTTGTCCTGGGCTAGCCCGATGAACCTGTCTCCAAGGCACCCTTTTCTCTGACTTTTCAATGAGCAAACTGCAGCCCCACATAGGCTCACTTCTTTCCTATAACATTTCTGGAGAGCCAGCACAGCCCTGCCTAAGCTCTCACCTGTTGCTTCTTCTATCGCAAGCCCTTCCTTGTTTCACTGTTCCCAGCTTTCATAAGTGTATTGTCAAAATAAAAAGAAAAAATTCAACTACTATATTATAGGAAACTGTTGTGCGTGGCGTGGGTTCAGACAGGACCTATGCCCATGGATAGGTTCTCCTGTGGGGAATTAGGCCTGCATTGTACCTAGGCCATTTTGAGACTTGCTTTTTGCTAAAACTCCCTCACCCTGAATTGAAGCAGCAAACATTTACTACATATCTTTAAAGTAACTTCCTAAAATCTGTGCTAAACCTTCCAAGGATGAGTGTAACCAGTTCAACTACTTTTCCCTTTGCATTTGCAAATATCCTTCCTCTGTGATGTGATGAGCAGGATCCTCTCCTTTGTTTTCTGTAATAGGTAACCAACTAAAGTGAACCTCTGCATAGTAAATGAGGACCATCATGTAATGTGCTCAAAAAGAGCAATGAAAGCTTGTCAAGGCAAAGGTTGGGGTGCTCTCCCCTTGAGAGAGTGGCTGTGTTGTCCCTTTTCCTCCACAGGACTCGGTAGTCTGTATGAATTTGTCGTATCTCATCCACAATGTCTCGGACCCCATGAGCCGGGGTCCACATCACCATATAAATGCCGATAACCTCCAAATCTATATCTATAGTGCCGGCCTCCCTCGAGTTTCAAACTTGCTGGACACTGTTAACCAGACTGACCCAAAGACAGTTCAAACTCAACATACTCAAAATTGAACTTACCTGCATTCCCCCCTATCTGGCCCCTCTTTTAGTATTCTCTAATTCATTCGGTGGCATCAGGCAATCAATCATTCATACTGGGAACACAGAAGTCACCTGTAGGTGCCCCTTTCTCAATCTCCAAAAATTATTCAAGAAGTTCTGCCCTGGCTGGCGTAGCTCAGTGGATTGAGCGCAGGCTGTGAACCAAAGTGTAACAGGTTCGATTCCCAGGCAGGGTACATGCCTGGGTTGCAGGCCATGACCCCCAGCAACTGCACATTGATGTTTCTCTCTCTCTCTGTCTCCCTCCCTTCCCTCTCTAAAAATAAAAATAAATAAAATCTTAAAAAAAAAGAAGTTCCACCTATTTTACATCCTAAATATTTTTCAAATTGCACTTTTCACACCTACAACAATGCCACAGTTGAAGGCCTTTGCTTAGTTTCTGCAACACATTTTCCCCCCACCTTACAAAATAAAATACAAGAGTCTTAATCAAGCATACAATGCCCTTGCCTATTTATCTAGGTACATTTATTAATCCTAGCCTCAAATTTTGTTTTAGCAAAAAATAAATGACTCACAGTTCCTGACCTACATATCATACTGTTTCTTGTCTTTGAGGGTTTGCTCATATTGTTTCCTCTGACTGAAATGAATACCTTTCTTTCCCTTCCTCTTCAAACTCACTTTTCATTAAAAGGAGCTCAGGTACTAAGTTCCCTAGGAAGTTTTTCCTGATCCTACCTTCCTTCCATAAAGGTTAGGTGTCCCTCCTCTGTACTCTCATATTACTTTGTTCTTTTCTAGAAATTGTACTTCCCTTACAGTGTTGTAAGTATTTGTATATATCTCTCTCCTTCACTGATCTCTGCAGCTCAGAGTCTAGCTCACAGTCTGGCAAACAGCGAGCAATCAATAGATGTTTAATGGTTCAATACATAAGAAGGGAGGGAGGGGGACAAGGAGGCAGAGAGGGAAAGGGAGAAATAGGAGAAGGGTTCACAATGGGTTTTACTGATAGAAGTAAAAGGAATAAACTTATCAGCCCCAGGCTTCTAACACTCAGAAAAATTGCCAGCTCCAGCTCAATGCCACAAATCAGTCTCTGATGTTTATAATTGACATGAGGAAAGACCAAGAGAGAACACATATGGTTTACAGACAGCTAATGCCCTTTCCCCCACCAAAGATGTCTACATCTAAATCACCAGAACCTGTGAATATGTTCACCAACAGGGTAGAAAGGACTTTGCAGATGTAACTAAGGATCTTGAGACAGGAAATTATCCTAAACTGTGCAAATGGGACTAATGTAACTACAGGTGTCCTTGAGAAAGAAAGAGGGAGGCAGGGGAGTGAGAGTCAGAGAAGGAGATATGACTATGGAAGCAGAGCTCAGGGTGATAAAAATGCTGGCCGGGGGCCATAAACCAAGGAGTGTTTATGGCAGCCTCCAAGCTGGAAAATGCAAGGGAGCGGATTCTCCCCTTAAGCCTCCTCAAAGATCACAATTGATACCTTGATTTTAGCCCAGTGAAACCCAACTTGAACTTCTGATTTCCAAAACTGTTAATATAATAAGTTTGTATTGTTTTCAGCCACTAAGTTTGAGGTAGTTTGTTATGGCAGCAATAGGAAATACAATGTATATATGATATATAATAAATAATATCTACAATTGTCTCAAAATATGAATTTGAATCGAGTTGCCACTCAGAATGTGCCAGAACTCACTGTTTTTGATAAGTGTATAAAAATATTGACACATGGAACCACATATATATAATAAATGGGAAAAGGACTGCCTGGATATAAAATGACAATTTACAAGATAATTTGGAAATCTTTTAAAATATGGATATGAATAATCAAAGCTCTAGTTTTTAAGAAACAGATTTTTAAGGGAGGTATTAGGTAGGTATTCTATCAAATGTGATTTAAAAAGGGATTTTAAAAAAATCCTCATCCAAGAATATGTTTATTGATTTTAGAGAGGGAGGGGGAGAAGGGATAGAGAGACACAAAAAGAAAGAGAGAGAGAGAGAGAGAGAGAGAGAGAAACATTGAAACATCAATATGAGACAGAGAAATATCAATTGGTAGCTTCCCATATGCATCCCAACCAAGGGTCAAACATGCAACCTAAGTATGTGTCCTGATTGGGGGTGGAACTTACAACCTTCTGGTGTATGGGATGACTCTCCAACCAACTGAGCTACTAGGCCAGGACCAAAACAGGATTTTTAATAAGCCATCCAAAAGATGTGATTTTTTTCATTTCTATGACATTTAAATATAAAAACAAATAAAAATAACAGCCTTCATTGTTATATGATCTGACTTTTTAATATGGAGGCTCTGCCTACCTAATCTGTTTATTTGCATTCTCTCTCTCCAACAACCACACACACACACAAACATGTCAAGATATCTGGAAAATGTCAGAAAAACTAATGTCTACATAAATTTATTATAAATCTCATGGCCAGAGTTCAAACAACTTACTTTCCTTTATCCTTCAACCATTCTGGGTTCTTTTCTTCCTCTTTTAAGTCCCTAAGTTCAGGAATATCAGTATTCATTGCTCTCCTTGCCTCTGCTTGTTTGTGCAGCCACTGAAATGAGAATGAAGTCTAATGAATGACACAAAGGTCTTTTTGTTATTAACACTTACTTTTAGATTCCCATCTTCCTACATAAGACAGAAATACTATTGCTTATGTAGTGAATGTTTGTGTCCCCCAAAATTCATGTTAAAGTCATAACCACCAATGTGATGCCATACGGAGGTGGGGCCATTGGGAGTTAATGAGATTCAGATGACATCATGAGGGTAGGGCCCCAGGACAGAACGAGTGTCCTTACAAAAGGAGAAGAGACCACCAGCGTGCTTGTTCTTCCCTCCACCCACCCCAGCACGCTGATCTTGGACTTCCCAGCTTACAGAACTATGAAACATTCAATAAATGTCTGTTGTTTAAGCCATCAAGTCTACGGTATTTTGTTACTGCAGCCCAAGCAGACTAAAAAAGTACTTAAAGAAGGTGATTTTAAACTTCCAGTTTTTATATGTTAAAAAAATTTTTTTTTACTTTAATAGCTGGTCAAGAGTAAAGATTTCTAGTGCACACTTCATTCAAATTTGGGAGTTCATATGAGTATTATTTTACTTTTCTAGTTTATCTTTTTATTTTTCTATATTAAAAAGTTATAATATTGTATGCTAATATAAAATAATAAACTATAAAAGTAATATACTGTTGAATAAAAAGAAAAATGTTAATACTTATAAACTGTCATTATATCTTAAGTATCTTCAATTATATCCACAACTTCTCAATTGGAAGAGGTATCAGTTCACACCTTACAGTAAAGAAATGCAGTTGTTAGTGCTTATATAACTGAAGATACAATATTTAAAATACCAAAGCTCAGGAATTTATAAATGAATGAAAGATATTAATTACAAAGCATCAAACACTAAAATATCTGATATTAATAACTCATTGTAATAATATATTAATAATAAATTTCAAATCTGTCCTAATCACAACACATACTGATCCAAACTTTACAAATCTACTAAAGAAAATGATGCACCTCATAAAATAAATAGCACATGCAACAGTTCATCTCTTGGAATAGGCAAGACTACTGCATAGTAAAGCAGTATTCTGTCATCAGCATTCTGGAGCCCAAAAAACAATCCTGAAAAATATATTTTTTTCATAAGGAAATAATAAAAAATAAAGTATTTTCATTATGGTCATTGTAACTAACAGCAAGTACTCCTACCTCCTCTTCTTCTGCTACTTGTGATTCCCGGAGAGCAGTTGGGAATGCTCGAGGGGTAAAGTTGATTTTAATACTGCCAACAGAGCGAGGAGCAGGAATACTGTCTTCTTTTAACTTCTCAGAAAATATATTTTCTGAGTTTCTCCCTTCAAAAACAATATTAATAAGTTATTTTTTTCTCATTTTGTACTTAACACACTGACTTTTAAATAAGTTATACATCAAAGCTACTTCTAAAATTCTATACCAATAAACCAAAGATACTTTTCTATAGGAAGGAATGTAAAATCCATCATTGAAAGTATGGCAGGTCCTGGCCAGGTAGCTCAGTTGGTTAGAGCATCGTACGAATACACCAAGGTTGTGGGTTCCAACTCTGATCAGCACATACAAGAGTCAACCAATGAATGCATAAATAAGGGGAATGATAAATTGATGTTTCTCTCTCTAAAATCAATACAAAAATTTTAAAAAATGTAAGTGAATCTCAATATAAAGGTAAACATAAAATTATTAATAAAATATCAGTAAAGTGAATTAAGCTGTGTAAAAATCAGTATCATCAAGATCTTGAAGATACTTCTTCCTTATAAAAGTGTGTTTTGGATGCAACAGTATTTGAAAACATAAAATTTGTTTAGCAGTATTTGAAATATGGAATGAAATATTTTCATATACTCTAACTGGTATCAATATTTTATTGAATAGCATTAAAGAAGGAGGTATTGTGGTAGTTAAATTAAACCACAATAAAATAATGGTTAATAAAATATTTAATAATGGTTACTACTTAATATTCACTCTAAATGATTTTCCCACATGCTAGACCTCATTGTTAAAGTAGTAATGACATGTAACCAAGTGGAAAGAACATAGGTTTCAGATGCACACAGATATCGGTTCAAATACCACAGGTTTACTTATTGGTAATTTGTTTATCCTTTATGAACATCTATTGCCTCTAAAATAAGAATAGCAACATTTATCACAAAGTGCTATTGTGAAAACTGAGTGAAACAACCAGTAAAGTCACCTGGCATAAAGTGATCACCAATAAATGTTAATTATTACTATTATACAAGTGATTTTACTACAAAATGTTTCATTTGCTACATATACACTAAACAAAGCTTAATATTCTAAGATGAGATAAAAATCAAACTCTTAGCTTTCAATAAATATGTTCTTTTTGCCCTGGCTGGTGTGGCTCAGTGGACTGAGTGCCAGCCTGCAAACTGAAAAGTTCCTTGTTCAATTCCTGGTCAGGGAACATGCTTGGGTTTCAAGCCAGCTCCTAGGTCGGGGGTGTGTGGGAGACAACAGATGCACATTGGTGTTTCTCTCCCTCTCTTTCTCCCTCCCCCACCTCTAAAAATAAAGAAATAAAACCTTAAAAAGAATAAATATGTTCTTTTAACTATTTTTAACATACCAGGATCAAAGGCCAGAAGAACTCTTGTTTGCCGAACAGTACTCATTTTACTGAGTCAGGTGAAGAAAATGTCTTTTAATAAAAATCCTAGTTTCGTATCTCTAAAGAAATAAATGAATGTCCCTCGTACTGACAGTCCACCCCAAGTCTTTTTAGACATAAGTTAAAATACATATTTAACAACACTTTCATAAATTTCAAAAGGAAGCACACAAGCAAAAACAACACTGAATCTCTGCTCATTTTATCATAAAACTTCACTACTTCCTAGAGGACAAAATAAATCTTTTACTTTAGTCTTTGTGTTGCAATACTTATTCTCAATAAACTATAATAAGGACCGAATATCAAAAATATGTTACAACAACAACAAAAGTGACCTATATACTTTACCAGCAGGACTCACTTTCCCAGGAAACACTGAAGTAATTCTTGTACCTTTCGTGGCAATATTTCTAGATGTTGAATTTCCGGTAAGACTTTTATGTTTTAATTTTTTCTTTTCTTCTTCAATTGGCCTTTCTTGTTGATGTAACTTCTCTTTTCTCTGAATTCTTTTTTGTTCTTCAGCTTTTCTTTGACATGTTTTCCATGCTTCCAATTCTTTAGTTGCTTTTATCCGTTCATTTTCTTTCATACATTCTATTTTTTTCCTCTCTTCTTCTTCAATCTGTGAACAATTACAATTACTAAAAATTTTAAAACATATAAAAAGCAACATTTTAAAAATAAGTTCATTACAATAATTAATCTTACCTCAAAACTCTTGTAATTGTATCTGCAGCAATAATTAGCAGTAAGTAAAGAATTAAAATGAGAATGGTAAATAATTTAGCAAAATGCCCAGTGATTTGGTTGTTGTGAAACATAGGTTTTAGTTCATATTTACCATTAACTATTGATACAATCTTAGGAAATTACTTTCTCTAGCTTTAGTTTACTCACAAGTAAAATGTGGGTAAGCATTCAATTAGATGATATCAAAGGGCTTGGTAACAAAAAAAATCTATTTTTCTATTGTAAAAGTCAAGTCACTTTTCCCAAAACCTAAACACACACACACACACACACACACACACAAACATTTGCCTCTTTACTTTTGCCAGTCTTACCTTGTCTTAGGACTGCAGTTGTGCCAACCTTCGCCTGAGGAATGAGGAATATTTAGAATAAAAATAGAAAGGATGAACTAAAGAGTTTGTCTCTGGAATATGTTTGAACTTTGAATTCCATTGCCAGCTAGTTTGCCATAGTTGTTATTTGGAACTTCCATGTGAAAAGCTAAATGTCAAATAAGTTAAAAGCAGTATACTACACAAGAATATGTTAACTTTCTCCCTTTTATAAACTTCCCTCATAAGGGCAAGAAAGATAAAACTCTGAAATAAAAAAATTGGTTGGTATATATGACTAACTCTATGTATCTGAGTTTCCCATGGTAATTAAAATATTCTCACCTCTCTCCTCTAGAGAACAAAAATTCTCACATCTATCCTCTAGAGAAGCAGTGTCTAACAGAACTTTTTTTGATGATGCTAATGTTCTGTGCTATCCAAGTCAGCAGCCACTGCCACATGTGGTTAATTAAGCACTTACAATGTGGCTCTTTCTCAACCACAAGGTTATATCAAGAGTTTTTTTCAGAAGTCTAATAACTGTTTAATTATTTCAGATTTTTAAGAAATGTAGCTAGAGTGACCGAGAAGCTGATTTTTCATTTTGTTTCATTAATTTAAATGTAAATTAATATACATTTAAATAATATGTCTGGCACAGTAACAGAATGACATGCTGGAACCAAGTTTCCTAGAGGCTGAATTATTTTAGGATACAGAATCAACATTATCCATATGAAAACTATACTGAAGAAGTATCCTGTAACATCTGCATGATTTAATGGCCTCTTCTGGAAGACTGGTTATCTTTCTATTGAACTGTGTAATACTGACTTTAAAATAAATTTCACAGAATATTGAACACGAGTTTCCTGTAGTCCCAGAACTGTACCTAAGGCCTAAACTAAGCCCAAAAGATGCTAATTACTATGAATCCTAAAGTTCAGACGGCTGCCAAGAGGTTGGGACAGGAGGACTCTGCATGTGGCAATGAGCCAGCTTTTAATGCCTGACAACAGGGAATGATGAACAGTCAGTGTTAGCCAGAGGCAGCCACAACCTAAAAAGAGATGACAACTTCACCCAGTTTAATAATATGTTTCCCATTTTTCCTTTCCTCCCTCTTTTCCCCAACACATGAAAGAAGGGAAAAGTATGTAAAAAGTCAGAACACCCTTACCTTTCATAAGGCCTGTGAGTGGAATGAATTTTGAAGTTTTTAAAACTGTTAAGACAGTCTTAATTACCCAAAATGAGACTACTCTTATAATCAAAAGTAACAGGAAAGTTCTATTATCATAACCAAGATTTAGTTAAGGGAAATATATGTATATTACATATATTATATATATAATTATATGTGTAATTTAATTTGTAATAAACTACCTTTGAGACAAAAAAAATAGTCTAACTCTTTAGGGAGTTATGTGGAAAAGAAGGGACCAAGAAAGGCTTCACAGAGCATGTGACAGAAGGAACTAGGAAGAAGAGAAAAATTTGAAGGTTAATTCCACAAAGTTTATGATATAAGGAAAAGAGAAACTATATACATCAAAGAGAAACAGAGATCCAAGAAAGGCTTCACAGAGCATGTGACAGTATGAACTAGAAAGAAGAGAAAAACTTAAAGAAGGTAATACTACAAAATTTATGATAAAAGGAGAAGAGAAACTATATACATCAAAGAGAAACAGAGATACACAAATGTTAAACAATTCTTGAAGTTCTTTTATTTTTTTATTTAAAGATTTTATTTATTTATTTTAGAGGGGAAGAGAGAGAAAGAAACATCAATGTGTGGTTGCCCCTCAAGCTCCCCCTACTGAGGACCTAACCCACAACACAGGCATGTGCCTGGACTGGGAATCAAACCAGCAACCCTTTGGTTCACAGGCCAACAACACTCAACCCACTGAGCCACACCAGCCAGGGCTGAAGTTCTTATTAAAACAAAAGTAGTACGGGGCACTTACCACATAAAGAAGGAATGCTTAGTAACAGAAAAATTCAGAAGGCTAGAAAAGCAATCATCACACATGAAGAAACTGAATTTTAAGTACTTTGTACTGCTCAAAAAAGGATGCCATAAAGTGTGAGATATTGCTTTACTATAGACAGCAAATTTAACTAAAAGGAGAGTAATTAGCAACTCCTAAACCCAATTCCTGAAGAAGGGGAAGTCTGTATTTCTTTTAATTTGGAATGAATGGTTTATTGAGGCATTGTTCTTTCTAAAATAATTTTACTTATCAATTACATGCAGAAATAATAAATAAAATATTAGCACACTGAACTGAAGAAAATATTAAAATTATAATATACCTTGATCAAATAGGGTGTTTCTTACTTATGATATTAGGAAATTAAAAGAGAAAAACAACATGACCTCAACACATGACAAAACATCAGCCGATACTAGGAATAACAGAAAAATTTTAGCTTGCTAAAAGGACCCATACAATGTTCAATTTTATGGCAAAGCATTAGAAATACTTCTAGCAAAATCACTAAGGCCAATATGCCTACTATTTTACTATTTTCCTAGAGGTAACCTATATAATAGAATGTTTAAAATATGAAATATAAATAAGGATTATAAGGAGACAGAACTGTCATTATTTGTAAATAATATTGTAGACTACCTAAAAGAATCAAAATAACAAACTGACAAACTATTACAACCAAAAAGTAAGTTCAGCAAGGCACTCATTTATAAGATCAACTTAATACAAACTCATAAAAACAAACTTACATATAAACTAGAAATAAGCGATTTGAAAAATACAGTGGAAAAAATTATTCATTAGTAAATGCCAGAAAAAACTTTAAAAGGCTAAGAATAAACTTAACAAAATATGAGCAAGTCCTACGTATGCCAAATAATTTTGCTGGAGATACCTAAAGTAAGTCTGAAGAAATGGAGATAAATGCCATGGTGTTGGAGGGAGATTGAAATATTATAAATATGTTGATGTTCTGTAAATGAATTTCTAAAGTCAATGTAAATATAATCAAAATACCAAAAGAACTTCTTAGAGAGCTTAATAAATAAATATAAAATTCATCTACAAAAGAAAATGTGCAAGTTTTATGGAGGGATGAGTGAACTGTCAATTCCCATCCACAGATACCAAGTACGAAACTGGACAAATCTATCAAAAACAACAATTTCAAGGCACTGGAAATTAACCAAAGACAGCCTGCAAAATGAGAAGGGTTTGTTCTAGAAAAACTGCTAAAGTTACAGGTAACAACAGTGGGAGGCTGTGCCCTCCAGCCTGAGGTTGCTCTCAACCACCCACTTCCAGCTAGAATAACAAGACTGGCAGTTTTACCAACATGCAGCTCACAACAACAATGAAAAACCCTGCAGCTTTGTTGGCAGAAAGGGAGGACTCATTTCAGGGTGGGGCAGGAAAAACCTGTGGCTTAAGGGGATAAAAACTGTAGACTTGGTTGGGAATAAACAGGGAAAATCTGCAGTTGAGGTCTGAGGTTGAGGTCCTGGTTAGGGTAAGTGACTTACTAGTCAGAAAATTAACATAAAGATCATATAAACAAGGGCAATAGAAAGTCTGTGGTAAGCTCACCATATAATCCTGGCTAAAGAAAGCTATGTATTTGTGGGGGAGACCCAGGAAGGCTGGCATAAAATGAAGCCAAGGGAGACAGGAGACCTGGCTCGAAATTTGCAGGTATTCTCAAACCGACACACAGATCAACAGGCAAAGGGTAGGAGGCCTCTACTACCTCTGCCCAAAGCATTAACTAACAGTTAAGCTATACGGACACAGGGAAGACCCCTAAGGAAGCCAGTCTAAAAAAATACAAATTAAAAAATTTAGCAGAGACATCAGCAGCTGTATATCCAAGGGAGACTAGACTGATTTCATAATTAAAATCAAGGGAAGCTGCTAAAAAATAATCTTGAATAAATAAACAAAAAACAAATTAAAAAAAAAAACAGAAGCCAGAATTGCTATCATCTATTAATTAAAATATCTAGTTTTCAACCAAAACTACCGAAAAATTTTGATAAAAACTTCTCAAATTTGATGAAAATATTACCCTAAGCTCCAACGACTTCAATAAATCCAAAGGAAAATAAATACAAATATCCAACATAAAGTACAAAATTAGTAAAAAAGCTAAACACAGCAGGAAATCTTAAAAGCAGCAAGAGAAAAAAGACTCATCATATACAGGGAAACAATATAATTAAAGGCTGTTTTCTCATTAGAAACAAAGGAGGACAGAAGATAGTGAAATGACATGTTCAAAGTACTGACAGATAAAAACTATAAACCACAAATTCTATAAAGAGCAAAGCCATTCTTTAAATATGAAGATGACTCTTCCCACCATCTTTCCACGCTGCCATAATGGTGCACATGACTGTTCAGGCTGATGCTCTCAAGTGTGTCAACAATGCTGAAAAAAGCAGCAAACACCAGGTTCTTATCAGGCCATGATCCAAAGCCATCATCGTCCAGTTTCTAACTGTGATGATGAAGCATGGTTACATCGGCAAATTCGAAATTACCGATGACCACAGACCTGGGAAATTTGTCGTGGACCTCACCGGAGGTTATGGACATCCCTATCCTGTTCCTGATCTTAAGGGAAATGCTTGTAGTTTTTGCCCATTGAATACAATGCTGGCAGTACGTTTGTCATATATGGCCTCTATTATGCTTAGATATGTTCCCCCTAATCCCACTTTACTAAGAGGTTTTTCATAAATTGGTGCTGGATTTTATCAAATGCCTTTTCTATTGTTATAACCATGTGGTTTTTATCCTCTATTTTGTTTATGTGGTGAATCACATTTGTTGATTTGCAAATGTACCAACCTTGCATTCCCAGAATAAATCCCAGTTGATCATAGAGTCCATCAAGAAACTACTAGAACTAATCAATGAATTCAGCAAAGTAGCAGGATACAAAATTAATATCCACAAATCAGCTGCATTTTTATACACCAATAACAAACTGACAGAAATAGAAATTAAGAAAACGATCCCAGCCCTGGCTGGTGTGGCTCAGTGGACTAAACAGATTACAAACTGAAGGGTCACTGGTTCGATTCCCCATCAGGGCTCATGCACTGATGTGGGCCAGGCACTCAGTTGGAGGCATGTGAGAGGCAACCAAGCACTGCATCTCTCACACATAGATGTTTTTCTCCCTCTCTTTTTCCCTTCCTTCCCATCTCTCTAGAAATTAATAAAATCTTTAAAACAACAAAAAAGAGGGAAAATAACAAGTTTTGGTAGGATATAGAGAAACTGAAACTCTTATTCACTGCTCCTTGGAATATAAAAAGGTGCAGACGCTATGAAGAACAGTGTGGCAGGTCCTCAAAAAATTAAAGGTAGGTCCTGGGTGGGTAGGTCAGTTGGTTGGAGCATTGTCCTGATATACCAAGTTTTGCAAGTTGGATCCCTGGTCAGGGTACATACAAGAATCAACCAATGAATGCATAAATAAGTGGAATAACAAATCAATGTCTGTCTGTGTATCTCTAAAAAGAATCAATAAAGAAAAAAGTTTAATTAAAATAGAGTTATTGTCCTGGCTGGGTGGGTTAGTGGTTGGAACATCATCCTGTACACCAGAAAGATGGCAGGTTTGGTCACCCGTCATGGCACATATGGGAGGCAACCAATCGATGCTTCTCTTTTACATCGATGTTCCTCTTCTCTCTCTCTCTCCCTTCCTCTTTCTCTAAAAATCAATAAAAACATATCCTTGGGTGAGGTTTAAAAAACAGATCATTATTACCATATAATCCAGCATTCCACTTCTAGGTACAGACATACTCAAAAGAATGAAAACAAGATCTGGAAAAGATATTTTCATATCCATGTCCATAGCAGCACTATTCACAATAGCCAAAAGGTAGAAGTAACCCAAACGTCCATCAACTCTTTAGCTAGACTAAGGAAAAAAGAGAGAAGACTAAAATAAAAATCAGAAATGAGAGGGGACATTACAACTGATAATATGGGAATGATAAAGATCATAAGAAACTACCATGAACAAACTGTACACTAACAAATCGAACAACCTAAAAGAAATGGATAAATTCCTAGAAACATACAACCTACCAAGACTCAATCATGGAGAAATAGAAGATCTAAGCAGACCAATGACAAGTAAGGAGCTTAAATCAGTTATCAAAAACCATCTAAGAAATAAAAGACCAGGACCAGGCTTCACTGGTAAATTCTACCAAACATTTGAAAAAGAATACTAACAGTTTTTCAGTATGGAATTTTTTTAAAAAACTAAAAATGGAACTGCCTTTTGAGCCAGCAATTCTACTGCTGGGATTATATCCTAAGAACACTAAAACACCAATCCAAAATAACCTATGCACCCCAATGTTCATAGCAGCACAATTTACAATAGCCAGGTGTTGGAAGCAACCTAAGTGCCCATCAGTAAATGAATGGATCAAAAAACTATGGTACATTTACACAATGGAATTCTATGCAGCAGAAAGAAAGAAGGAGCTCCTACCCTTTGCAACAGCATGAATGCAACTGGAAAGGATTATATTAAGCAAAATAAGCCAGGCGGTGAAAGACAAATACCATACAATATCACCTTTAACAGGAACCTAATCAACAAAACACACAAGCAAGCAAAATATAACCAAAGACTCTGAAATTGAGAACAGGCTGACAGTGACCAGAGGGGAGAGGTGAGGGAATTTCAGGGGAAAAGGGTGAAGGGTTTGCAGGAACAATTATAAAGGACATATGGACAATAACAAGGGCGGGCAGTGTGGAAACAGGAGAGGGAGGTGGGGAAGGCTGGGGTGTTGGGGTGAGGGGAAAAGGCAGAAAACTGTACTTGAACAACAATAAATGAAATGAAATAAATGAAATGAAATGAAATGAAATGAAATGAAATGAAAAGAATACTAACAGGTTTTAAATTCTTCCAAAAAATTGAAGAGCAGGGAATACCCCCAAACTCATTTTACAAGGCCAGCAGTACCCTGTTTTATTAGTTCAGTAAATATCTGTTGTCACAAATTTAATATTTTGCTTGTATTTTTTAAAATTCAGGAAAATTGCCCCAGCTGGTATGGTTCAGTAGATTGAGCACATGCCTGTGAACTGAAAGGTCGCCAGTTCAATTCCCAGTCAGGGCACGTGCTTGGGTTGCAGGCCAGGTCCCTAGTTGGGGGTGTGCTAGAGGCAATCAATCAGTGTATCTCTTGCACAGTGAGGTTTCTCTCCCTCTCTTCCTTCCTCCCTTCCCCTCTCTAAAAATGTAAAAAAGTCTTTTTAAAAAATAAAATTCAGGAAAATTATAAAAATCAAAAGGCTGACAGAAATGATAATACAATCAAGAAAAACTGGAACTCATCAAGTATACTATAAGCAGAAATCTTTGGCCAGCTGACCACATGGTTAATTAAGTAAAAAACAAAGTATACAAGGATAGGCTATATTTAAAAGTCAAGTAGAAGTGATAAAAGAAGTGGTGAAATCTTTGGAATTATAAACTTCTGATTATAAAAGCAATACTAGTGCTTCAAGTGCAAAAAAAGAGTCATGGGTTCACAGAGCTCTTGACGAGATCATGCTTGTGATAAATTCCTTAATCATTTCACAATGTCAAAATGAGAATGTGCAGTAAGAAATTACTTGCAAAAACAAGTTAGCATAGGTAAATCTTTAGAGACAGGACTTAGATTAGTGGTTGCCTATGGCTAGGGGATGGGAGGAACAGAGAGTGACTGCTAATGGGCATGGTGGCTTTGGGGGTGATGAAAATGTTCTAAAATTGATTGTGGTGATGGTTGCACAACTCTGGATGAATTGTAAGCTTTAAATGTGTGAATTGTATGGTATATAAATTATATCTCAAAATATATTGCTGATTAAAGCTCTAACTTGAAATCCTCAACAGTTAAAAATATATTTATTTGTTGATATTCAGTGTTTTTCTTGTTTTAAATAATTGTGTCCATTATCCCAAGATTAAGAAGGGGGTAAAATATACCATAAAACCTTATCATTTCTGAGACCCCTGGAAACAGAAAATTCTCACTGAAACAAGTAAATCTATAATTATCTAATATTTACACCCTCAACTTTCATAAAGATTTTCAGGCCCTGACTGGTGTGGCTCATTTCATTCCACGAAATGAAAGGTTGCCGGTTCAATTCCCAGTCAGGCCACAGGCCTCAGTTGCAACTTTGGGTCCCCAGTAAGGGTGCATTCAAGAGGCAACTGATTAATGTTTCTCTCTCACATCAATGTTTTTCTCCCTCTCTTCCTCCCTCCTTTACCTTCTCTCTAAAAAGAAATAAATAAAATCGTTGAAAAAAAAGATTTTCTGCCTTGGCTGGTGTAGCTCAGTGGATTGAGCACAGGCTGCAAACCAAAGGGTTGCTGGTTCAATTCCCAGTCAGGGCACATGCCTGAGTTGTGGGCCAGGTCCCCAGTTGGAGCTATGTGAAAGGCAACCACATACTGATGGTTCTCTCCCTCTCTTTCTCCACCCCTTCCACTCTCTCTAAAAATAAATAAATAAAATCTTTTAAAAAAAGATTTTCAGGAACACATGTAATTAGTAGATAGTCTCTATAACGTAGTAAGTCCTATAACCAAAGTATGAACAAAAAGGTGAGGTTGGAACTAATTATCCTTACATAGTTTATTATCATCTCTTTAATCAGAAGATTTTTCTATCAATGTGCAATTTACCTTCATCATGACATTTAGTGCATATTTTTGATCTTCACGCCTTGTTGCAGCTTTTGCTTCTATAGCTTCTTTTGCTTTTTCTTGTGCTTGTAAAACAGATTTCTCCCTTATTTTTTGCATCATTTCTTTGTCAACTAAAACATAAAGAATATCACTAAATTAGGATTATGATAAATTTGTTTTACTAGGAGAAAACTGCTTAATATTATGAACGAGGATGAGATATTTTTGAACCCAACTTCATATGGAGAAATGAAAACATTTCTCAGTATTAAACTGGCCAAGAAGCTAACATTAAAATGTAAGCAAGTGACTGTATAGTAATTACTACAGAATAAGAGGGGGTAAACAAAAGGGGAAATGGGGGGGATGGGAGAACCGAGAGGGGGGGGGAGAAAGAGAAGGAAGCAGAGGGAGGAGACAAGATGAGGGGAAAGACAAAACATATATCCTCCTCTGTTGAGAAAGCAGAGTTATTTGCTTATAAACCTGATCACAATAAATCATCACTACAGGGTTTAGAAAAGAAAATGGGTTGAGACTATCTGGTATGATCAATCACCTTCACAAACTTAAAAGGTAATTTATACATATGAAGAGTATAGGGCCAGCCCTAGCAAAAATTATAAAGTAACATGACTTGTTATATATAGAATTTTACCATTCACAATTATTTTTATATCCAGTGACTCAATGTTTTACACACAGGCTATGATCCAATTTATATTCAGTGACTAAATGTTTTATACACAGGCTGTGATTCATTAGGGAGGATGTAAATTATCTTAGGGAAAGAGGAATCAGGAAGGGATCTAGACTTTGAGGGGAGAAAAAAACAGGAGGAGAGAAAACTTGGTGTGGGGAGGGTGAGGAGGAGGAGAGTAAGGTCTGGGGGGTGGGGGGGCAGGGATGAATCAGGTCCTAGGCAGGGGTTCTTAAACTTTTTAGTGCATCTGACCCCTTGGCAGAAAAAAGCCATAAATGTTGACCCCTTGGCAGAATAAAGCCATAAATGTTTTCAAATGCATGAAATAAAATACATAGAATTATAAAGAAAACTAATCATATTAAAACACGAATATTAAAAAATAAATTTGATTTTGGCTGGTGTGACTCCAAGGATTGAGTGCCACCTGCAAACCAGACTCCCTAGCTGGATTCCCAGTCAGGGCACGTGCCTGGGTTGCAGGCCAGGTCCCCAGAAAAGGGTGCAAGAGAGACAACCACATGATGTTTCTCTCCCTCTCTTTTTCTCTCCCCTCCCCTCACTAAAAATAAATAAATAAAATCTTTTTTAAAAAAACTTACCACCTGACACAGAAAGGGTCTCCCACATGACCGCTTCTTTTTTATGTAAGGTGAAAACAATAGTGTCATTTCCAATCTTGGCTTTGCTGTTCTCGTCGTCTATGGGAGCATAGAGAAACACCTCAAATAAAAATGGAGCAAAGTTGACCTATTCAGAAGGGGGAGAAACGAAGGTTAATTTAGTTACAGTAATTAAAAACACAGCCGTTAAGAAATTAGTGATAGAAGTCAAAATCATTTCCTTAAATGCCTACTATAAATTTATTCCAGATCGTGAAAGATCAGCAAGATATATGTAGGGAGCCCTGGATAAAAAACAATCTCTGATTTGATAACAGCTGCTTGCAGATGAGGTATCACCTGTACGGATTCGTTTGTTGTCGCTTTCAATAGCACTAAGGTTTTAGGACGTTTCTGTGGAAGGACGCGTCCGTTCGCGAACACCTGGGCGCACTCGCAGAAGCTTCGGACCGCAGCCCCGGGGACCCGGCAAGCACGACTCGCGTTCCTACCTTCAGATAGTTTTCCGTGCAGAACACGTCCGCTTCTCTAATGCAGACACCCCGGAGGGGCACAGAGATAAAGACCGCAGTCTTCGTCTGCTGCCAGCTGTAATCCCTCACCTGCAGGGGCATCCTGGGAGGCAGACCCTGCGGCTGGTGCAGCCGGATAGCACTGGCGCGAGCTTGGTTGCTAGGGAAGCCGGGGTTACCAGGTTCCAGCCCTTCCGGGTCAGGCGGGACCCAGGCACCCGGTGTTCCCAGAGAAGGCCTGGCCGCCTCTGCGACCCCAGGCGGATTCCGCTCCTCGCTGCTTGGGCCTGTTGGAGGAGTCTTTAGACCACTTCTTAGGGTCTTAGTACTTCCGCAAAGTCTGAGCATGTCTCCGAAAACTAGGCCCACATTCGTTTAGGCAAGTAAAGATCTTCCCGTCTGAGAATGCAAACAAGAATATGGGCTTACTGGGTAGGAAAGCGTGACCCTCCAGAAGCAGGTGCGAAGCCCACGCGCCGTTGAAGCTCTGGCCTTTAGTTGGTTCTGATGGAGGCTGGAAGAGTTAGCACCCTTTGGTGTTCCTGCTTTGCACGTATCCTGGCCCGGGATCTTATCTGTACTATTGTAGTTCTTCATATCCTATAATTTAACGGCCACCAAAAAAGCTTGTAAGTAGGGTTCACTCTATTGTGTGAGAGGTGGGGAGAAAAGATCCTATGACTCACCTGACAAATGCTTGCCACAACTCACCTGTAGGATAAGTTGAATTCACACGGATACGTTTTACTGTTGCTTAAGGAAGGAAACTTAAAGATCAGCGGAGGCAGGAGACTTAAGGATCATATAGTCATTCGACATATTTAAGGAATCTAGAACCCTATTGCCACAGATTACTGGCAGAACCGCGATGAAGATCCTGATCTCTCTCATTCCAGTGTTTATTCCCCGGGCTGTTTTCTCTAAATCAGATTTATAAATTACTGGAATTTGATGTTAAAAACAGTGAATTTACACGAAAATTGGGCACTTGCTACCTAATTAAGGAAAATTAACTAAAAATTTTTTAAGAAAATTGGCCATCTAGGGCTTTGGATTTTAAACTTCTCACTTTGGGGGCCCATTACACAAATTTCAAAGGTCCCGAAAAATTTCTTGAAAAAAGTTTTGAAGCAACAGACTGGGGAGGAAAAAAACAAACATCTTTTCCTTTAAGCAGGCCACCCCCTCACTACCTTACCCAAATTTGTCAGTGGTTCATCATCTCAAGGTTCTGTAACTTTCAACACTGCAGCCACCTTAGACTTCTTTTCCCTTGTCTGCCTAAGTGCAGAAATCTGTGAATCAATCAATCCACCGGTTCTTTCTTTATGGTTGTTTGTTTGTTTGCTTGTTTGTTTTGGCATTCCCTCCCTCCAACCCTTTAATTCTAGTTCTACTTTTACCATTTTATTTCAAACTGTGCATTATCTTCAAAACACAGGGTTTATGTATTCCTTTTACATAAAAATTTCAAGTCTATGTTCTCCCACTATATAAAAACACACGTAATACAATATATATGAAAGATAATAAGAATACTGTATGCCAGTTGGGAGTTTCAGGAAAATACATTATGAATCACTTTGTTAAGAACATACATACCTTCAAGGTGAAATTGTTCTTCTGACTACCATAGTGTTATTAAGCTTTTACACTCTGAATGAATTAATTTAAGAAAAAAATTAAAATCTCCTCCCCTTTTGAGGAGGGATGGGGGGAAAAGGCAGAAAACTGTACTTGAAAAACAATTTTTTTAAAAGGGAAAAAAACCTGATCAGTTTTATTACTGAATCATTACATCAACTGTTAATTTAAACATCATTAATTTATACACTGTTTCATGACTTACTAAACTAAAAAGTGTTTCACAAGCTTTGAAACTAATTCAATTATAAAGTCTTTTTTAAAAATATACTTTATTGATTATGCTATTAACAGTTGTCCTGATTTTCACCCCTTGGCCCTCTTCACCCAGCAACCCACATTCCCTCAGGTAATCCCCACAATATTGTTCATGTCCGTGGGTCCTGTGTATAAGTTCCTTGGCTACTCCATTTCCTACACTGTACTTTACATCCTCATGGCTATTCTGTAACTACCTATTTGTACTTACAATCGGCTCACCTCTTCATCCATTCCTCCTCAACCCCCTCCCATCTGGCAACCATCAAAACCCTCTCTGTATCCATGATTCTGTCCCTGTTCTTCTTGCTTACTTAGTTTGTTTTTTAGATTCAATTGTTGATAGATATGTATTTTTGCCATTTTATTGTTCATGGTTTTGATCTTCTTTTTCTTAAATAAGTCCCTTTAATGGGTCTTAAATAAAGTCCCATTATTATATTGCATATAATAATAGTTGTTGAACTCCTTTAGTTTTTTCTTGTCTGGGAAGCTCTTTATCTTCCCTACAATTCTAAATAATAGATTTGCTGAGTAGAGTAATCTTGACTGTAGGTCCTGCTTTTCACAGCTTTGAATATTTCTTGCCAGTCCCTCCTAGCCTGCGAAGTTTCTTTTGAGAAATCAACTGACAGACTTATGGGAACTCCCCCGTAGGCAACAAACTGCTTTTCTCTTGCTGATTTTAAGATTCTCTCTTTATCTTTTAAGTGTATTCTATTGATTATCCTGTTATAGTTGTCCCAGCTTTTCCCCCATTGCTCCCATCTGACAGGTTCCCTGCTTCCCTTGTATGATCACCACACCCTTAGTTCACATCCATGGATTGTACATGTAAGTTCTTTGGCTTCTCCATTGTCTATATTGTTCTTAACATCCACCTGTCTATTCTGTACCCACCCAATTATGCTTCTAAATCCCTATACCTTTCCCCCCATTCGCCTCTTCCTCTTGCCAGCTGATAAACCACCAAATGATCTCCATATCTATGATTCTATTGCTGTTATAGTTATTTGCTTAGTTTGTTCTTGTTTTTTAGATTCAGTTGTTGATAGTTATTTGTTTTCATTTTAATGTTCATAGTTTTGATCTTTTTCCTAAATAAGTACCTTCAACATTTCATATAATAAGGGCTCAGTGATGATGAACTCCTTTAGTTTTACCTTGTCTGGGAAACACTTTGTCCTTCAATAGCTTTGATGGATAGAATAGCTTTGATGGATAGAATAATCTTGGTTTGTAGGCCCGTGCTTTTCATCACTTTGTATAGTTCTTGCCAGTCCCTTCTTGCCTGCAAAGTTTCTTTTGAGAAATCAGCTGATAGTCTTATGGGAACTCCTTTGTAGGTACTCACTACCTTTCCCTTGTGGCTTTTAAGATTCTCTCTTTATTGGACTTGGGGCAAGATGGAGGCATAGGTAGATACACTTTACCTTCTCGCACAACCAAAAGAAGAACAAGAAAAAAAAAAAAGAACCAGAACTGACAAACTGAACTCTGTGGGAGTCTGAAAACGAAGGAACTAAAGAAGAAACATTCATTCAGAATGGTAGGAGGGGCAGAGATGGGCAGCCAGGGCAGAGAGGATGCACAGCAAGGTGGTGGCTGGAGGCCCAGATAGGCAAGGCGGCAGCTGGCAGACCGGGTGGTCCCAAGTTTGTGTGCAGATAAACCAGGAGGAAGAACTAGGGAGCAACACACAGCATGCAACCCAAGGTTCTAGTGCAGGGAAATAAAGCCTCAAAACCTCTGGCAGTAAAAACCTGTGGGGGTCGCGGTGGTGGGAGAAACTCCCAGCCTCACAAGAGAATTAGTTGGAGAGACTCACAGGATCCTAGTACATACACAAACCCACCCACCTGGGAATCAGCACCAGAGGGTCCAATTTGCTTGTGGGTACCAGGGGAAGTGACTTAAAGTGGAGCAAGAGCCAAGCAAGAGGCATTGTTTCCTCTCAGAAACCTCACCCACACACAACACTACAATGCCGCAACATGGGTTGCCCCGCCCTGGCAAATACCCAAAGCTCTGCCCCTTACAATGTGACAGGCATGCTGAGACAAAAAACAATATATATCCCAAATGAAAGAACAGATCAAAGCTCAAAAACTAGAACTAATTGATGAAGACATAGTCAACCTATCAAATGCAGAGTTCAAAACACTGATAATCAGAATGCTCACAGAAATGGTTGAGTATAGTCAAAAAATAGAGGAAGAAATAAAAGCTATGCAAAGTGAAATAAAAAAAAATATACAGGGAACCAACAGGAAGAAAACCAGGACGCAAGTCAACAATTGGGAGCAGAAGGAAGAAAGGGACATTCAATCAGAATAGAATGAGGAAACAAGAATTCAAAAAAAAAAAAATCAGGAGAAGCTTAGGAACCTCTGTAAAAACTTTAAACATTCCAACATCCAAATTATAGGAGTACCAGAAGGAGAAGAGGAGGAGCAAGAAATTGAAAACTTCTTTGAAAAAATAATGAAAGAGAACTTCTCCAATCTGGCCAAGGAAATAGACTTCCAGGAAGTCCAGGAAGCTCAGAGAGTCCCAAAGAAGTTGGACTCGAGGAAGCACACACCAAGGCACATCATAATTACATTACCCAAGATTAAAGAGAAGGATAGAATCTTAAAAGCAGCAAGAGAAAAGGAGAGAGTTACCTACAAAGGAGATCCCATAAGACTATCAGCTGATTTCTGAAAAGAAACTTTGCAGACAAGAAGGGGATAGAAAGAAGTATTCCAAGTCATGAAAGGCAAGGACCTGCATCCAAGACTACTCTATCCAGCAAAGCTATCATTAGTAAGAGGGCAGGTAAAATGCTTCCCAGATAAGGTCAAGTTAAAGGAGTATATCATCACCAAGCCCTTATTATATGAAATGTTAAAAGGACTTATCAAAGGAAAAGATGATAAAAAACATATGTAGTAAAATGACAACAAACTCACAACTATCAACAACTCAACCTAAAACATAAACTAAGCAAACAACTAGAACAGGAACAGAATCACAGAAATGGAGATAACATGGAGGGTTATCATCAGGGAGGGGGAGAGAGGAAAATGGGGAAAAACATACAGAAAATAAGCATGAATGATAGGTACAAATAGGGAAAGGTTAAGAATAGTATAGGAAATAGAGAAGCCAAAGAACATATATATAGGACTCATGGACATGAACCAAGGTGGAGGAAGCAATGCTGGTGGGAGGGGGGTGCAGAGCAGTGGGGGAGAAAGGGGAGAAAAAATGGGGACAATTGTAATAGCATAATCAATAGAGTACATACATTTTTAAAAAAGATTATTTATCTTTAACCTTTGGCATTTTAATTATTATGTGTCTTGGTGTAGCCCCCTTTGGATCCAACTTATTTGGGACTCTGTGCTTCCTGGACTTGTATGTATATTTCTTTTGCCAAATTAGGGAAGGGTTCCTTCATTATTTTTTTCAAGTAGATTTCCAATTTCTTGCTCTTTCTCTTCTCCTTCTTGTACCCCTATGATGCAACTGTTGAACCTCTTGAAGTTGTCCCAGATGCTGCTTATACTATCCTTGTCTTTTGTATTCTTTTTTCTTTTTGTTGTTCTGCATGGTAGTTTTTTGCTTCCATATATTCCAAACCATTAATTTGATTCTCAGCTTCATCCACTTTACTGTTGTTTCCCTGTACATTGCTCTTTATTTCCATTAGTGTATCCTTCATTTCCAACTGGGTCTTTTTTTTTAGCTGTTGAGGTCCTTGCAAAATTCTTCAGCATCCTTGTAACTAACTTTTGAATTCTGCATCTAATAGATTGCTCATCTCCATTTCATTTAGATCTTTTTCTGGAGTTTTGATCTGTTCTTTCATTTGGGCCGTGCTTCTTTATCTCCTTGTTTTGCTGGCCTCCCTGTGTTTGTTTCTGTGTATTAGGTAGAGCTGCTATGCCTCACTGTCTTGGTAGTGTGGCCTAATATAGTAGGTGTCCTGTAGGGTTCTGCAGCACAGCCTCCCCTATCACCCAAGCTGGCTACTCAAGGTGTGCCCTTTGTGTGTGCTGAGTACACTCTCCTCTTATAGTTGCTGTTGGCAGATCAATGGGAGGGATTTACTAAGACTTGAGTAAATTGGAGAAGTTCTTCATTATTTTTTTCAAAGAAGTTTTCAATTTCTTGCTCTTCCTCTTCTCCTTCTGGCACTCTTATGATTCAGATGTTGGAATGTTTAAAGTTGTCCTGGATGTTCCTAAGCCTCTCCTCATTGTTTTTGAATTCTGTTTCTTCATTCTGTTCTGGTTGAATGTTTATTTCTTCCTTCAGCTCCAAACTGTTGATTTCAGTCTCAGTTTCCTTCCCTTCACTGTTGGTTCCCTTTATTTCACTTTTCATAGCCTTCACTTTTCCCTCTATTTTGTGACCATACTCAACCAATTCTGTGAGCATCCTGATTACCAGTGCATCTGAACTCTGCATTTGATAGGCTATCTCTTTGTTGCTTAGTTGTATTTTTTCTGGAGCTTTGATCTGTTCTTTCATTTGAGCCATATTTTTTGTCTTGGTGTGCCTGTTACATAGTAAGGGGTGGAGCCTTAGATATTCACCAGGGCAGGGCAACCCACATGCTGAGTTGTGGTGCTGTACGTGGGGGAGGGGTCCGAGAGGGAACAATGCAATCTGCTCAGTTCTCTGCCACCTTTCAGTCACTTACCCTGGTATACCCACAAGCAAATTGGGCCCTTCTGGTGCTTATTCTTTGGTAAGTGGGTTTGTGTATGCTCTATCACCCTGTGGGTCTCTCCAACAAACAGTCCTGTGAGGCTGGGAGTTTTTCCTGCTCCCTCAACCCCCACAGTTTTTTTTCAGTCAGGTTTTGAGGCTTTATTTCCCCACACTGGAACCCTGGGTTGCATGGTCTGTCTTGCTCCCCACTTGTTCCTCCCAGTTTATCTGCATTCAAATGTGGGACCGCCCACTCTTCCAGCCACTGCCTTGCTGTGAGTCCTCTCCACCTGGATGCCCGTCTCTGTTCCTCCTACCAGTCTGGGGTGAATGTTTCCTCTTTAACTCCTTGGTTGTTGGACTTCCATACAGTTTGATTTTTTGTCAGTTCTGGTTGTTTTTTTATTTTTAAGTTTGTTGTTGTCCTTTTGGTTGTGCAAGGAGGCACAGTGTATCCATCTACACTTCCATCTTGGCCAGAAGTCAGAATGTACAAGTTTTATGAACCTGTCATGGGCCTCTATATGCAGCTTCTTTTCATGTGAAACTACAGGCACCTGATGGTTGCTTCAAACATTGAAAGTCTTTTGACAACCTTATCTTGTCATTCAAGCAAGTTCATTCTTTTTTAAAAAAATTATTGTTGACACTATTGCAGATGTCCTTATTTTCTCCCTACACAAGTGTGTTCTTAATATTGTCACCATAGTAAGACAATACCATTCTGCTTCAGGGATAGTTAAGCTGCTGATTGTAGAACTCTCCAATTCATTTTCTATTAACAAAACTGAAGTTCTAATTTATTAAAATAAAAGAGGTATGCTATGTTCACATTTTCTTTTTTTCATGTTTTTAAATTAAATCGTTATTTTTATATATATTTTATTGATTATGCTATTACAGTTGTCCCATTTCCCCCCTCACTCTCCTCCACCCTGTACACCCTCTCCCACCTACATCCCCCCTTTAGTCATGTCCATGTGTCATATGTTCTTTAGCTTCTACATTTCCCATATTATTCTTACCCCCCTATCTATTTTCAACCTACAATCTATGCTACTTATTTTCTGTCCCTTTTCCCCCTCTCTCCTCCTCCCACTCCCCTGTTGCTAACCCTCCATGTGATCTCCATGTCTGTGGTTCTGTTCCTGTTCTAGTTGTTTGCTTAGTTTCTTTTGGTTTTGCTTTAGGTGTGGTTGTTAACAATTGTGAGTTTGCTGTCATCTTACTATACATGTTTTTTTATCTCCTTTTCTTAGATAAGTCCCTTAAACATTTCATAAAATAAGGGCTTGGTGATGATGAACTCCTTTAACTTGACCTTATCTGAGAAGCACTTTATCTGCCCTTCCATTCTAAATGAAATCTTTGCTGGATAGAGTAATCTGGGATATAGGTCCTTGTCTTTCATGACTTGGAATAGTTCTTTCTAGCCCCTTCTTGCCTGTAAGGTCTCTTTTGAGAAATCAGCTGACAGTCTGATGGGAACTCCTTTGTAGGTTACTGTCCCCTTATCTCTTGCTGCTTCTAGGATTCTCACTTTCATTTTTACCTTGGCTAATGTAATTATGATGTGCCTTGGTGTGTTTCTCCTTGGGTCCAACTTCTTTGGGACTCTCTGAGCTTCGTGGACTTCCTGGAAGTCTATTTCCTTTGCCACAATGGGGAAGTTCTCCTTTATTATTTGTTCAAATACATTTTCAATCTGTTGCTCTACTTCTTCCCCTTCTGGTACCCCTATAATTCGGATGTTGGAACGTTTAAAGATGTCCTGGAGGTTCCTATGCTTCTCGTTTTTTTTGAATTCTTATTTCTCCATTCTTTCCTGTTTGGTTGTTTTTTTTTTTTCTTCCTTCTGGTCCACTCTATTGTTTTGAGTCCATTTCCTTCCCATCACTATTGGTTTTCTATGCATTTTCCTTCATTTCTTTTATGGTAACCTGCATTTGTTCATCTAATTTGCGCCCAAAATCAACCAGTTCTGTGAGCTTCCTGATCACCAGTGTTTTGAACTGTGCATCTGATAGACTGGCTCTCTCTTGGTTGCTTAAAATGATGAGTCCTGGGGCACTGATCTGTTCTTCTGTTTGAGACATGTCTCTCTCTCTCTTTTTTAATTTTTTTGGTCTGGTCATTCTTGTTACGGTGAGGGGCGGAGCCTTAGATGTTCACCAGGGCTGGGCACCCCAGTTGCTAGATTGTGTTGTTGTATGTGGGGGCGGGGGTGGGAGGGAACAATGGTGGTAGTTTCATTCTCTGTGGGACCTCAGTCCCCTCCCTGGCATCCTGGGTTGCGTGCTCTGCCCTGCTCCACAATCGGCACCTCACTGGGTCTACCAGCTGCTGCTTGCATACTCAGGATCCACCTGCTGTGATCTTGCGCACCCCAGATGCCTTATGGGCCCCCAGTTGCCTTATGCGCCCAACTCTCTTTGCTCTCCTCACCGTGACCCGCACCGCAACCCGCACCCAGGTTCTCCTCTCTGCCCCTCCTACCGGTCTGGATGAACGGGTCTACTTCAACTTCTTGGCTGTCCAACTTCCATTCAGATAAATTCTCTATCAGTTCTGGGTGTTATTCTGCCTCTAAATTGTTGTTGTTCTAATCTTGGTTATGCGTGGAGGTATGGTGCATCCACCTATGCCTCCATCTTGGCCAGAAGTCTATTTTTCCACCTTTTCTTAAAGAATAGCAAGACTCAGTGTTATATATAACTTCACATGGAAAAAAAGAATGTATATAGAAAGACCCATCCAAAAATATTGTTTGCTCCTCAGTATAAAATCAAACCTCCAAGTAAATTATAGTCTGTTGTCTTGCTTAATGTTTCCTGGGACATCTACCCAAAGCCAAAATTGTTACATCTACTTGTCTGATGAAAGTTAAGCACTTAAAATACAGTTATTTTTCTCTAAAAACTGGCTTTATTTAAAAGAATCTGAGGCATAACACTACAAGAAACAAACTTACAACACATATTGTTCAAGAAAGCCTGCCATACATAATTTCTAATAGTAGGTTTATACACTGATAAATAACATTGTTTATACAATACACAAATGACATTTAGCATGATCCCTGAAAAGAATGACCAACAATAACATGGGCTGTTTTGATAGAACCTCTACTTATCTTACTTAGAATAAAAAACTACAATGTGGAAGATGAGTTAAAACTCCCAATTTTAAATTCTAGCATGGTGTTTAAAAAAGAGGTAAAAGCAATCAAAAGGAGAAAATTGTAAGAGTTAAATGTCTTTAAAAGAAAAAGAACTGGCTTACCACTATTTATAGCAAATATTAAAAAGTAACTCAGATTTGAGAATTATTTGGTTTACTACTTGGAAGCCCTTAGATATTCAATCTATCCATTATCTACTAAATTCTATCAGTTACTAAGCCAATTTTATTTCTCTGAAAATGTAATCTGTACATTAATGATATAAAGAAAATAAACAATATGGGGGTAACCTAGTCACTTCATAGTTTATTTAAATTTTTCCACAAAGCAATTCATGAATCACTTAATACTAACACTTCTTTAAACCTCTGATTTAAATAAACAGACCCAGTTCTAAAAGACTGTATGTGAAAACACCAGAAAAATATTCCTAACACAAATACTAAATTTTTAACACAAAAAAAATAGACCAATGAAAACACTGGGTATTCAAGTAAAATATAATGGGATGATACAGTATGGTATTTGGCATTTTTAAAAATATTAAGAACTGAATCAGATTTATTGCTATGTCAATCCTAGCAACAGTCAACAATCAAATGTACAAAACGTACCACAACAACCATGCCAAAAAATGATGTATAGAGATATCACTAACATAGCATAGGTAGATATTTATCTTGTAATATATATCATTGACATAATAAAAGGTTATTAATTCAGGATAGTTTGAATTGGTAAAAGTCTAAAAATTTGAATATTTTAAAAAGATATGCAGGTTAAGCACTCACAAGCATTCTTTTTCTTTCAAGCATATAATTTCAAACATACATATTTGCACTGGCCAAGTATTACCTACTATAATTATTTTGGGTACTTGTTTTAATGACAAAAGAATACTTTTAAACTAGTATTCTTCAATAAATGCCTCTAAAGATCTTAAAAATTTTCCAAGACTATACATTTTTCTTTAAAATCTTGACATTTACTAACAAATCTTTTCATCAGATAGTACAACGTAAACACCAATGAAGTCCTGTGTCATAGATGCTAATATTCTAGGTAAATTAGAAGAGTTTCATGGTATTGTGATACTGGCATACCTCATTTTATTGCGATTTGTTTTATTTACTTTATAGATCTTGCATTTTTTACAAATTCAAGGTTTGTGGCAACTCAGTGTTGAGCAAGTCTATTGACACCATTTTCCCAATATGCTCAGATGATAGCATTTTTTAGCAATAAAGTATTTTTAATTGAGGTATGTACATTGTTTTTTAGACATAACATTATTGCACACTTTATAATAAACTACAGACATGGTAGTGTAAACATAATAAAAAATGTGTGACTCACTTTAGTGTGGTATTTGCTTTATTGCATGATCTGGAACAGAATCTTCAGTATCTCTGAGGTATGCCTGTAGTTTCTTAATAGATGAAGTATAACTAATCATTTTGGTTATGGTAGAGTGAATGATACCTCTTTTGGTTGAAAAACATTAGATTAAGTTCAAAATCTAGTATATAATTTTAATGGTATGGGCTAAAAATATCCCAATATGAACTGTCAAGATAACTTCAGTAAGTTTTAACTGTAAGAGGAAGATCAAAATTTTAAGAAGTATTTATTGTATTATGAGTGTTATGAATTGCTAACATCAAAATGTACCCCTCTCTTCTATTTCAAAGATATCAGGCCATCTACTAATCCATAAATATTGATGTTTCACTTACTTCATAGAGTAGCTTAAACATACCAGCATAAGAAATAATTAGTATTACATAGTAATTTCCTTTGCCACAGGAATAAATGTTGGACAAAGTCTGGAAACATTTTATTTTCCAATTTGAATTACAGTAATTTTGCCACAGACCACAGCACTAGTGCATGTGTTACTTTAGACATGCTCTATGAACAAAACAAAAAATTACTGCAAAAATACATGTCACCAATGTGGAACACACTCAGTTTGTATAAAAGTACTGAACTAATATCCCAAAAAGAGGTATATGTAAACAGTACATAAGGAAGAAATAGTTTTAATATGAAACAGTCATTTAAGTCACATACATCATGATAAGAAGCAGGACTTTCTTTTATAAGATATTTTAACTAACAAGCAACATCATCTACATCATCTACAGAACAAGAAAGTACAGGTATTTAGAATACATTTTAGTATAATTGCAAGTAATTTGACAAACTATAACAAAGATGAAGCTTATCCACTGGGTTTCATGAAAAGTCTTCAATGAAATACAGGCAGCCTTTGATGTATTAATGTCTGGCTTACATATAGCCACTTACTTCCCTTCATTTCCCCTAGACCACTTGTCTTGGGAGATGTTAATGCCATACCAATCCTCCTTACTCCAAGGGTGGCTCTAAACTTCCATCATTGTACCAAGAGTTGGAAAACTGAAGATGTGACTTCCATATTGCTCTGTTGGCTAGATGAAATACAAAAAAGGAGAAGTTGCTAACATTTGTAAATGAGAAGAAAACCTCTGAGATCAGAGAAGTAGAAGAAACTTAAAATCCCAACAATCTAAAGGAAATTGTGAAGTACTTTCAAGAAAGTACCAGCCAATTCAAAAAAAAAAATACTGCTTCCTTCTGGTGCCTGAAATGTGGTCATTTTGTCTGAAATCTTAGATAGTAAAGATTCATTCTGAATAAACCCCCTTAAAAAAAGAAATTGAATGCTACTTTCTTCATGATCTTCATTTGCACATCTTGATAGAAAACACCTTTCCCTTAGAGTTTAGTCAACCACAGCCACACAAAGAAAGAGGAATTCTGATTGGATGAAAGATAGGAAATTCTGAAGCACAGGGCATCCAGGAAGGGAAAAGGCAAGTTGGCTTATATAGCCTCCCACCAGAGAGGTAAGAAGACAACTGGGAAACACACCAAAAAACTTGAACTTCCTGAATCACATCAGGAAGAAGAAAAGAGCTCTGCTCCTTTCTTCCACCTACACTGACTGGTTCCCTAAAGAAGCTATCACACAGCATGATACTACAGGTTAACTACATCATGCTTTAAATAAGCCTTTATGAGCTTCCCTAAGAATCTAATCATCTTATATAGAGTTCTAAACCACTATTTACAAATAAATTTTGGGAGTCTCAATACTTTTAAATTTTTAATTAAAAAATCTAAAATAGCATAAATGTTCATGCATATGAAACCCATACACTGCAAAAAATCCAAAACCATTTAGAGCTCCCTTTTCATTGCTTATATATTTGTACGATTAAACACAATCACTATAATGTGTTGGACAAGTACTAGCACTCTTAATTTGTTCAAGATGAACAAGTTTGAAAAAATATTGAAGACTCCTGATACATATTTGGATGATTAAAGTTGGCAGACTTCATGGTGACCCACACTACTGAGTTTTTTTCCTATTACTAGTCAGGATTGGGAGTCTTAAAATAAAAAACCCCACCAAAAATTGGATTTCTTTATACTGTGTTAATCTATGAAGAATAAACTAGTACAAGAAAATCTTCAGTTTTATGTACATAATCTTCTAATATGGATAACAAGAATCGTAACAGTATTTCACACAAAAGGAAAACACTAATCACAAATCTAAATTCTAAGCCCTCAACCTGAAGAATTGTTTTTCTTTACATGCTAAACTGTTTCAGTATTAGTTCAGTAGCATCTAGAAGCAAGTGTACCAGGAAGTCTAGTGATATTAACAAAGCAAGTTCTGAGAAAGGAACTGATGCTTTAGAACTTTCCATTAGTAACCTAGCTTTGGGGAGAGAGCCTAACTACCGATAGTCAGCCAGGGTGAACTTTGGCAAAACAAGAATGTAGGAGAAACTCCAAGATTTCCTGCCTCTGAGTGTGTGTGTGTGAGAGATGGGGCCTTTCAGTGAAGGGAAAGAATTACACCGAAAAGGTGCAATGCTACTACTGGAAGATTATTCCACCTGTGTGTACTTCTTTCCATCACTGAATATTTTTAAATGTTTAGGGAAGCTCATCACTTATCTTAAGAAAGCTACACTAATTTGTATAACAGCTTTCTTTGGGTCAAACTAGGCAAATTAGTATTTGGCCATTCTTAGAGTTCATCACTTTCCCTACCAAAAAGGATCTAGATAATTTTTGAGTTAGTGTTATTTAGAGACAAAGGTAGAACTATAAGAAAATTAATTGAAATCATAATAATAAGAAATTAAAATCATATATAATAAGAAATTAATTGAAATTAAAATCAGTTACGCTTATAGTTTGCCTATGATTCATTGTCACAATCAACCACATTCTTGTAGTTGTTCTTTGAACAGTTTGAACACATTCTTATTTAAATAAGATACTTTGAAGACCTAAATACCTGAAGAAAAAATTACTTGTTTGTAAGTTAAAAAAAGTTACTTGGAAATAGAAAATGAAAGAATTGCATTACAAATCACAGATCTTTTGACTAGCTTGGGAGAGGTGGTCATTTTCACAAAACAACTATTGAAACTGTAAGCAACTGAGGGTTTAAGACCCCACAATCCATTAACAATGAGCACAACTCAAGAACTGCCATGTAAAGTGTTAATTCTTGCAGACATTGGAAGGCTCTACTCAGTATCTATCTAACTGCATTCAGTCATTAAAAAAAATCTGATCTGATGCTAGGACTGGGCAAATAGCATGCAGTGCATCATGTCTTAAAAATCAGCACTCTAGGATTTCAAGAACATGACTAGGTCCTTAAATATTTAGAAAATGTTGTGTCTCTAACAAAAGCTACAGTGTAAGCACGCTAGGATCTTCAAGTATGCTACTGAACACATCAAATGTCAGTCAAAAATATTGCATTTCAACCTGCTTCAACTAGTAAAGTTTTCACACAAAGAAGTGCCTATTGTTAGAGTTTATTTCATTTCCTAGAATTGTAAAGACATATTATTTTACAACTATTGAAAATACTTTGTACTCACCTCCAACTAGTCACAGGTAAATGCAGAAAAATTTATATTACTTTGTACCATATGAAATTGCTGTTTTTGTAGGTCAAAAACACTGTATATAAAAGCTTTATTCAATTAAAATATATACCATGAGTAGCAATAATTCTCTTCTAATAGGATACTAAATATTTCATTTTTATAAAAATTCATCATTTGTTAGACTGTTTAAATTGTTGAAATCCTCAATTGCTTCTTCAGTTGAAAAATGTTATTTGTTAGAAAAAATCTCAAAAAAAAATCTCCAAATAATGAAAAGGATGGCAGTTCATTGGATAAAAAGGCTTGGGGACTAACATGGACATGACAAAATAGCCCAATTCAATTAATTGGGCTATTAACCAAAAGATATTTTCTAAGTCAGATTTTTCAGGCCTAATTTTAGCTTCTTGTCAATATGCTGCTGTTATTGTTCATCAGGGTTTAAATAGTAGTGATTAATTATCCCTTTCAGATTACCACATGGTCTTCAGAACTTTTTTGGTTCCGATGAAGATGGCGCAGGTTTGGGAGCCTCAATGACATCTAACCATCGTATAAATTGCTATTAAATGTCATTTTGGTCACGGGTTATGATCCACTCCCACAACTGGATTTCTGATGTTTTGAATCTTAACTAGTTCACCTCCAGCCGTTTCCATTCTTTATCATCTCTTAAGAGGACACACTCAGATCCATTTTTATACTTTCCCCAGTCACAGCAAAATTGCTGTAAGGCCTTAAATTGTTGTTTGTAAGTTAGCTTACACCTTAGCTATTAAACTGACCTTTGCTTAAAATGAATTTTGATCTCCCTTAAGGCTCATTTTTTAATTCACCTCCCCAGAACAAGATTTTTCAAACTGTCAGTGAGTTGTTTTTTAGCCCGCAGAGCACTCTAAAGCCAAATTTATGTTTCTACCCATCTCATTTGCAGTATATTCCAGATTGGAATCATGTTTTTAAAAGTGTTCACAATTCTCCTGAGACTACTATATTATTTATTTCTCTGGAAAACAGTAACAAAACAACCAATAATCAAAGAAAATGAAGAAAAGCCTAATACTGTTACAATTCTACATAGCACAACTAATAACATACTTTGTCAACTCTAGTAACTGAAGTCAATTTTCAACTGATCTAATATTAGCAATTTCATGTGGTACAATTCACAAGTTAATCAACAAATACATACTGAGCATCTACTATAGGCTAACACTAGTCTCATATCTGTATAAACAGATATCCTGAAGAGATTGGCTTGAAATATGAAAGTCACTAATTTCAAGGACCCTAGTCAGGGAGCAATATGGTGTCATACTTTGTTATTTTTAAAAACACCTATTAAAATGTATATTTTCTTCCATGTGATAGCTACATATATTTTTTTTTCTGAAAACATGTTAAATGAATCCTTGAAAAAGTTTTTGAAATAAATGTTCAATATGGAATCGCCCAAGTTCATCACTGAAATACACATTCTTCAATGGTGCTAACTTTTAAAAGTCAAAACTTGCCTGCATTTGCTATATATTATTTTGAAACTTCAAGAGGCTTTTTTGATTAAGAACAACTAGCATTTATTTGTATAGTACTTTCTAAAGCACCCTCATATACATTACTCTCATTTAAGATAGCAAATGAAGACTACAAAATTTGCACTAGTAATGAAGTGGAATAGTAGTAAAAAAAAAGTAAATAATCTTTTTGCATGTGCATTTAAAAAAATATTGTAAAACATTTAAAATCCTGTGTCACTGAACCTTTGTAATACACAAGGGGAGAAAACCCCACTTCAGTTAATGCCTGTGATTAAGCATCACTGCCCACTGCAGGTGGACCAAAAGTTTCTCTAGTGCGCATTAACTGGACATCTTTCTCAGCCATACAAGTATCACAGCCCCATACTGCTGATGCTTCTGCTGTTAGCAGGCCATAAGCTGTTTCAGTCATTCCAGTGCAGATCCGATGAAACCATTTCTGACAAGATGCTTCACATAAGATGGCATCCTGATCATCATTCACTTCATTTGTACAAATTCCACAAGGATACACTGGGTCGGAAGAAGAATGGCCATGACGGCTTGGGTGGAGAGAGGATTTATTGCTTTTTTCAGTGGTGCACGTGTCTGCTGCACCTCTAGGTTGTCGTGGCTTATTCTGTGTCCCATTTGCATGGCTGTTGTTTGTAGCTTCGGTGCTACTTGAACGGCTATTCTCTTGATTTACTGCATTGTTTCTATTAACGTTTTTTAATTCAATATTACTCTGATTCACTGTGTCATCCATATTTAAGTGAGGTGGATGAGCAGAGGAATTTTGATTAGTGTTTTTGGTTGCTCCTTGATTAAAGTCTGGTTTTGGGGGTGGTGCTTTTGCTTGACCAAAAGTATTTGGAGGAGGAATAAAAGAATGATTAGATTCTAATGGAGAAGTAAAATTTGAATTATTTCCGGGGACAAAGTTAGATGCCAAGTCAGAATTAGATACCTGGCCAGCATTCTGTGGAGGAATCTGATTGAAGTTTTCAGCAGGATTTTGTCTGAAATGTTGGTTAGGTATATTAACATTCTGACTTAGTGCACTATTATAAGATGGATTTCCAAAACTAGAATTATCATGTGGCCCAAAGTTAAAAGCATGAGGCCGATTAAAACCCATGCCCAGAGGATTCTGAGGAAATGGGTGTGGCTGATTCCTGAGTGAGTAAGGACCACAGTATGGGGCAGACATTCTTGGAGGAACATGAGGTGGCATTCTGAATGTGCTATATCCTCCAAAACCAGGATAACCAGGGCCAAGATATGGATTTGATGAAGGTAGTGGTTTATAGGAGATAGTATTATAGTTGTCATCAAATGGATTAGCAGCCACTAGATGGTCAGAGTTTGGATTCGGTGGTGGAGCATACTCAGACAGTGGAGGAAAAGAAGGCCCCTGAAATGAGAATATAAAGTAAAACACATGTTTTTTGATAAAAAAGTCATTAAAATTGTCCTGTTATGAAATCTTAACACTTATGAACCTAGTTTCAGTAAAATTTCTCTTGCAGTGTAATAAAATTTAATTCTTCACTTGACTTTTGGGTTGCCCAATATTGGGTTGGCCAAAAAGTTTGGGGCTTCTTCCATGTAAGATGGCTCTAGTAGCACTTAGTTGTCTTTAACTTCATTAAAAACAATTCTGTTAGATTGTATTGAGACAGCTGTCATATCGGCATATGGTTAAAAAAAACATTAAAATTAGTGAATTTTTGTGTGGCCATTTTAATATTGAAGATGGAAGAAAATGTCCAACACTTTGGGGTATTATGCTTTTTTCAAGAAAGGTAAAACTGCAACTAAAATTCAAAAAGATTTGTGTAGTGTATGGAGAAGGTGTTGTGACTGATTGAACATGTCAAAAGTGGTTTGTAAAGTTTCTTGCAGGAGATTTCTCTCTGGATGATGCTCCATGGTCGGGTAAATCAGTTGAAGTTGATAGTGATCAAATCGAGATATTAATTGAAAACAATCAAGGTTATACCACACAGAAGATAGCTGACATTCCCAAAATATCCAAATCAATAAAGTTTTTGGTGAAAATGAAAAATATGTCTTTTATTTTATGGAAAAAACTAGACAGACTTTTTTGGCCAACCCAATATTTATATATAATTACATTTAATGATAAAAATGTGTTGGTTTCTTTCACTTAAAAAAGGAAATAAGATATGCTTTTCTGAGTGCAAACCCATTGTTACTTCAAACTCTGAAAGCATTTAACCTTCAAAAGAAAATTCATTATAATTTTCATTTAATATGTTTGCCTATAACTCTAGAATCTTTCACCTAAAATTCTAACTAAAAATGCCTTTTATACTCCTAAATAACCATAAAATTAAATAATTAACAGGATCTAAAATTTTTTCTAGCTTAACTTCAGGGAATAATTATTAACTTATTCCCAAAGCACTAAGCTCAAGGCCTCAGAATGGAAAAATAAATGGCCAGTTTTAGTTACACACTGCAAGATTAACAGATGGTAGCCAAAATGGAAAAGAAGTCATTGGTGCACACATCACACTTATTCGCAGTCTTTATCATAAAAAAGAGTGCTTCAAATTTATAGAGAATAAAATCATGAAAGCCAGTATTTACAATTGCTTATTACAACCACAGGTTATAAACAAAAGATACCTCCACCATGACTGCTTCATGATACACACATGCTACTGCATTATTATAATTGTTGAACTTATGTCCAAATGTATTTTCAACCTTTTAAAAGAATACAGGTATTGATGTCTTTTAAATTATATTTAAGAATAAGCATATTGATTTGTCTGCCTACACTTCCCTCTTGCAATATCCACTCTAGGTTTACAGTCCAGCACCAGCCACTAGCTGCAGAGTAAAAAAAAAAAAAACAATCATTGCAGAATTAATTCACTATTAGTTTCTGAATGAGAATAGGAAACAAAATACATGACCAAATTTAAGTTTACCTCATCAATCTGATCATATCAGCAAAGAAAAACTGTTATTACAAGAAAATGTCAATTTACCTGTGTATTTGTCTTTCTTTTTTTCTTATCTGGGCTTCCCAGTTGTACACCTGGTCCTCCTAACCCATCCAGTCCACTATCACCACCTGAAAATAAATAAAATCCAGATAATATTTCTACTTGTAAGTGAAATCACTTTTTATACCCCATAGCAATAACTATTATAATTACCTATTTATATATTTTCTACTTTTGTTAGATAAAAGCAATACTAAATTTTTATTATCTTTGTTTTTCAAAAAATCTTCCCCATAATTTCAGACTGAAATAGCCATTCATCTCTACTTCCAAAGTTTTGGGGTTTTTTTGTCATTCTTTCAGTGAAAAAGAAAGTCTCCCTCCTGCCTTTAAACCTTCAGGCACGTTGGTTCCCTGTCCCTGAGGCAGTCACTGCTAGTAGATTCTGGTCTATCTTTCCAAAGATAATCCAGATAAATTCCATTATAATACGTAACCTTTTAGTTACAAATGTACACAAATGATGGTATGCATACTATACACAATGGTCTGTACCATGCTTAGGAACCATTCCATGTCATTACATACTACATTACATAACTGCTCCATTCTCTAATAACTGAGTAGTATTTCATAGTATGATTATACCATAATTCATTAAACTTTCCCTCCCCCATTGATACCTAGGTTGTTTTCAAACCTTTGCTATTCTGGAATGAAAATCCATGTATACATATCTTTATATGCAAGTAATTTCTAGAACTGTGCATTTTAATTCTTAAAGGGGATTATTTTCTCAAAGTGTATGGTCAAGCAAAGACAAAACCTTGACTGTGAATTTTAGAGATTAACAAAATTTATCAATGGAATTTTTTCCATTAAAAATCTTATTATGGAGAATTCTGAACACATACAAAAGCAGATAGAATAAAATTATGTAGATACATACACAGATACACACTTGTAATGGATTAATAAATAAATTCAATGAACTGACAGAATAGAGAAGACCTGCTCATTCATATACATGGACTCTGGAAAAGGAATATTTATTTATTTATTTATTTAAAATTATATTTTATTGATTATGCAATTACAGTTGTCCTGATGTTTCCTCCTTTGCCTCCTTCCACCCAGCAAACCCCATTCCCTCAGGCAATCCCCACACCATTGTTCATGTCCATGGGTCATGCATATAAGTTCTTTGGCTACTCTGTTTCTTAGACTATACATCCCCATGGCTACTCTGTAACTGTCTATTTGTACTTCTTAATCATCTCACCTCTTTTCCCATTCTCCCACATCCCCCTCCCATCTGGCAACCATCAAAATGCTCTCTGTACCCATGATTCTGTCTCCGTTCTTCTCGTTTGCTTAGTTTGTTTTTTAGATCCAACTGTTGATAGATATGTATTTTTGCCATTTTATTGTTCCTAGTTTTGATCTTCTTTTTCTTAAGTAAGTCTCTTTATCATTTCATATAATGATGGTTTGCTGATGATGAAATCCTTTAGTTTTTTCTTGTTTGGGAGCTCTTTATCTGCCCTTCAATTCCAAATGATAGCTTTGCTGGGTAGGGCAATCTTGGCTGTAGGTCCCTGCTTTTTATGACTTTGAATATTTCTTGCCAATCCCTTCCAGCCTGCAAATTTCTTTCGACAAATCAGCTGACAGTCTTATGGGAACTCCCCTGTAGGTAACTAACTTCTTTTCTCTTGCAGCTTTTAAGATTCTCTCTTAATCTTTAACCTTTGGCATTTTAATTACCATATTTTGCCATGAACAGTGCACACCCACATTTTTTGGCCCAAATTTTCAGGAAAAAATCTTTTTAATTTCTTAATTCAATTATTTATTTATATTTAGAAACAAAACTGATTATTGTATTTTTGGGTATTATTTTGCATATGGGTATCATTATTGCTTTCTAGAGTTACACTTTTAACACATAAGCATAAATAAAAGAAGAACAATTATATAGAGTTGGAATTAGCACTACCCATGTATAAAGTGCATCCTTATTTCCTCTCAAAAATTTGGGCAAACAAGTGCATGTTACACACAGTAAAATACAGTAAGATGGGTCCTGGAGTGGTTCTTTCCATCCATCTTGTTTAGGACACTCTGTGCATTCTGGCTTTGCATAACTGTTTCCTTCACTAAATTAGGGAATTTTCCCTTCATTATGTTTTCAAATAGATTTCCCATTTCTTGCTTTTGCTCTTCTCCTTCTGGCCCCCCTATGATGCGAATGTTGGACCTCTTGAAATTGTCACAGAGGCTGCTTATACTATCCTCATTTTTTTTTGGATTCTTTGTTCTTCTTGTCATTTTGATTGTTTGATTTTTGATTCCTTATGTTCCATATCATTGATTTGATTCTTGGCTTCATACACTCTACTGTTGTTTCTCTGTAAATTATTCCTTATTTCAATTAGTGTATCCTTCATTTCTGACTGGATCTTTTTTATGCTGCTAAGGTCCTCACTAAGTTCCTTGAGCATCCTTATAACCAGTGTTCTGAACTCTGCATCTGATAGATTGCTTATCTCCATTTTGTTTAGCTCTTTTTCTGGAGTTTTGATCTGTTCTTTCATTTGGGCTATGTTCCTTTGTCTCTTCATTTTGGCAGTTTCCCTATGTTTGTTTCTGTGCATTAGGTAGAGCAGTTTTGATTCCATACTTGGTAGTGTGGCCTAATGTAGTAGGTGTCCTATAGGGTTCTCTGGCACAGCCTCCCCATCACCCAAGCTGGGTACTCAAGGTATGCCCTTTGTGTGGGCTGAGTACACCCTCCTGCTGTAGTTGAGCCTTAGCTGCTATTAGCAGATCAATAGGAGGTATTTACCCAGGCCAGTCAGCTGCGAGGACTTTCTGTGACCACTTACCACCAACCTCTGTCCTCTGTGGAAGATCAGCTGTACAGGGGCAGGGTGGTGGTGCTCCAACATGGTCTGTAGCTATCCACTGGGTACACTGGCCCTGGAGATTCCAGTCTTAATGGATGTGGTTTCTTTAATTCTGTAGTGGTCAGACTTCCACTCAACTTGATTTCTGATGGTTCTGAGTGATAATTGTTCCATATTTTAATTATTATTTTGATGTGGTTGTGCAAAGAGGTGAGCCATGTCTGTCTACAATACCATCTTGACTGGAAGTCTCTGGGAAAGAAATATTTAAACTGAGACCTGATTTAAATAAATCTTTCATGTGAAGAGTTGAAGGAAGACTCTTTAGGCCGACAAAACAGCATATGTAAAAATTCTTAAGTAGAAAGGAGCTTGATGTGTTTGAGAAATTTCAAAGAGGTCAGTGTTTTTAAAGAAACTATGGAGGGTGTCTCTAGAAGAAATTGAAGAGATGGTCATGACCAGATAATTTTAGATTGTTATGGACTGAATGTCTGTCCTACCCACCCCCACCCCCTCAATCCATACATTGAATCCTTAACAAAATTTGGTGGTTTTTAGGGTGGGTCCTTTAGGAGGTACTTAGGATTACATTAGGTCATGAGGGTGGGAATCTTATGATGGGATTGGTAGCCTTGTAAGAAGAAGAAGAGAGAGCAATCTCTCTCTCTTCCTAGGTGTATACACCAAGAAAAGACCATGTGATGATACAGCAAGAATGTGGGCATCTTGAAGCCAAGAAGAGAGCTCTCACCAGGAACTGAAATGACTGGTACCTTAGCCTTAGATTTCCCAGCTCCCAGACTGTAAGAAAATAAATTTCTGTTTTTTAAGCCACCAGTCTATGGTATTTTGTTATGGCAGCCCAAGCAGACTGAGACCTAATTTATAATAAGACAGTTGAATTCTACTTGAAGAACAATGGATGATCATTTAAGGATTTTGAACAGGAAAGTGACATAATTTATGTTTTTAAAAATATTTCATTAGCAGTTGTGTTGAGAATAAACTGGTGATGGGATGGGGTAGAAGCAGGGAGACTAGTAATGATATCTTTACAATAGTAGTACAGGAAAAGAAATGGTACTTGTCATAAGAGAAACCAGTGTGTTGGAGATAGTTTCCCGTATAACAAAATACAAAGAATATTTCTATAAGAGCCACTTAGAGGATCTTAATTAACATAGGTGAAAACCTGTGACAGACAATAACAAAATTTAGTAAGGTTTCTGCACAATAAATTAATAATTAAATATTAAGAGCTTTCTTATATACAAACTACAACCAGCTAAAAGATAAAATAGAGGAAAATTTTCCATTTACAGGAACAAAACTAAACTGAACTAAAATAACTAGCAATAAACTTAAGAAATGCCTAAGATCACCATGAATAAAAACTTTTAAAAGCCCTGTTGAGAGGTACTGAGGAAGAATTCTAATACTAAGTGGAAAGGTATTACCTGTTCTGGCTAGCCATCTAGAATAAAATAATATTGTTTTTTACCTCACTTATTATCCCAAATAGTTTGTTGTGATGATCTCAGAGACACTAGCACCAGATGTCTGAGTCCCACGCCCAAAGGACCCATTCTCCATGCCCAGAGGCATTAATACCAGCCTAAGCACCACCCCCTTCTCAGAGATTTGCATTTAAACTCCTTTGTATTTATATATTTTAGTAATTCCAAACTCTCCTTTTCCCACAGTCTTAGGAATGGTAGCTGCTTTCCACCATTGACTCCTGAGAAAACTTTTGTATCCTAGTTTACCACTTCAGTTTAATATCGCTTAACAATACTTCATATTAAATATTTTCTGTTAAAAACAACTGGTTTGTTTCCTGACTAGACTCTGATACATATCTCAATTCCCATCAGCCAGAAACTAACATTACTGCTAAGTTAACATCATTCCAGACACTTAGCTTACTATCTACCTACCAACTTTTCCTTCTGCAAATACAGAGTAAAAGCAATACCTTTATAAAAATAGGATACTTTTTAAAAATGGAAGCATTAAATTATAATTTTATTGAGATTTAATATAAGAAAAAAGAGAGAAGTTAAACTGAAGAATATGCTAAATATCTCTTCAGCAAAAGAGAAATTTAGGAAAAGAATCCTCTAAGGCTAAGAACAGACATTAAGAAAAACACTAGCAAAAGAATAGACACATAGATCAATGGAACAGAATAGAGAGCCCAGAAATAAACCCATATC